AAAAATCTCGTTAAACCCACGGTAGCCATTTAGCAAAGTTGTTTTTGGGTGCGCAATCGTTCACGAACTGGCTACATGCTTAAATTTGTGTTACTCTCTATGTTCTCCTCAGTGCAAGAAAATCTACTATATCTATATAAGAGCACTCCACTACCTTATTTCTCTTGACATGCAAGCTATACACATCAGCATTCGTCACCAGTTCTCCATCCATCAAGGCCTCCCGCATAAAACAGATTATTAGAAAAAAATTAATGTCTATCACTTACCACTAGACTCCTTGCATGCGTTCATCGCTAGCGATGCCCAACAAACAACAACTACTACGTGCATGCAGTGGTTCTAGGGATAGCCTTCAATATAGGATCACAAATACTCACCAGTTAGCTAGCTATTAACAAGGGAACTGCTTGATGGAGATTAATACGCAGACGACTAGGGTCCTTCATCTCCTTGGACGAATAAATCTCTCCACCGTTTCTTCCCAAAAAAAATCCCTACCGATTCTTCTCATCTGCCCTCTATCTGTAGTCTGTACCTCTCTCTCCACACTGCGCCGCCACTAGCAAGCCTTCACAGGTCATCGCCATCAGAGACCCAGGCACTGCTGCCATAATACCTAATTGTTTGTGCCACTGATTTGTCCATGTCTACAGTCGAACACAAAGACGAGTGGCGCCGCCCGCCTCGAACGCGATGACCTACATCCTTCCGACAAGCACTACTCGGTACTCCCTCGGCGAGTCGCTAACTCCGGTTCAAATCATCCAGCCTGCGACCGACGCACTACCCAAGAAATGCGCCCTCATGGTGGTGCTCACGGACCAGGATGTGGTCATCGAGGGCTTCTGCAGAGCGCACTGCGGCCTCCACAACGCGGACACTGGCACCGGGTAGACCTAGGCGTGGGTCGGTGGCACCGCGCACAAGTGCACCAAGCCGCTCCCTCGACCTCTGATCCCAAATCCTCCACCTGCTTTCCCTTTCGTTTGGAGTATGGAGTTCTCGAGTCCGGCCCGACATCATCGTCCACCTCCTGTATAGGATATTGGCCGTCAATTGCAAGAGGAGCACCGCCCTATGAATCGGAGTTCATGGCATTTATCTCCTGCGCGAATCCCATCCCCAGGTTTACCCCAAATCTTTTCAAATTTGTTTACATATGATTGTAATGCGAAATACATTTTTAAAATGTATGAATAGTCTTTGTTTGTATTCCTACGATCAGAACTTATTTTCATCTTTGTTATCATACTTTTTACAATGTGTTTTGGGCCTAAATGCTATATCTACTCATGCTTAATACTAATGACATTAACACATGGACAGATCTTCTTTACAATTACAGGTTGCTTCCCGGTGAACCAACGCAATCTCATGCATATGTAAAAGGTTGGAGAAATAGTTGGGAAGAAAATCCCTACAACCACACTAAATTTGGTATGTTGCTTAACCACATTCCATATTGAAACACTTAATTCCCTTTTCCTTACAAAGGTGAGCACTTGCAAATATCCTGGCAGTAGCAATTCAACAACTCGACCGAGGTGTGAGCGGCCTATTATGTTTGTTTTGCACGTATTTGTTGAGCCTCATCGTCATGTCCACTAAGAAGAAAGCCAAATTTTCAGCACTAACCCATGTTTATTTCTCAAACTTCTAATTGTAGGATATTGCTATCACCGCCATGCAAAGCAAAGTTTAATTATTTCTCTTATTGTAAGTCATTGGTATGCATTGATCCACTACCGTCCTCATTGTAAGTCACAACAGAATATTCTTCAAATCCTCTGAATAAGCTATAGTTGTCCGCTGTAATTTCAGTAGTTTGGTGAGCTTGGAATTGAGAAGATGGATCAACTTTAACTTTACTGTGCTGAAATTTGTCAATCTAATAACTATCACACATTACCGATTTCCAATTTTTTATATCTCTCTAAATCTTTGCATAATTTCCCGCCGCAACATGCGGGGTATCCTCTAGTAAAATAAACAAATAAACACGAAATAATGACGGGTGCAAAATAACTAATACTAGAATTAATTCTGCACCTAGAAACATATGGAAATATAGCAACTAGAAGAAGGGAACCGAAGGAAAGAAGAGGGCACTAACACTCTTTGCCGTCCCATTCAGAATGAAGTGCGTCCATATTTTCTGGAGGAGATAAGGACAAAACAGAAAATAAGGTACTGACATAGACGGCAAGAGAAAGGAAGCACATCAATAACCAAGGAAAAACATAGTACCTCCAGGGCATTTGGTTCTTCGATGACCGATGCACGAAAACTGAAAATTGCAAAGCCAGAGGGCGTCTCAAACAGCAGCAGCATCATACCATCATCTGCAAAACAGAAGTAAAGGAAGGTTAAACAACCATGATGACCAAGAAAATATATAGAATTTCAGATATCAAGCGTGAAGCCATCCCAAGGGGCTGTTATACATCACACGGGCAACTAGGAATGCCCACTAGATTGACTGCCCACCATACCCAAAATATAGCCCGTTTTACATGTCATTTTACAATTTGCGCTTTCTCCTCTCCTCCTCCACTCCCGGGCCTCGCAACAGCTGATCCTCCCCAGATCTGGCCAATCGAGACTACCATCTACAAGCCCCCAAACCCTAGGTATTGTACAGGCGTTGTAGCCAGTGCACTCAACTGTTACAGCCGATACACTAGAATGTTCCAGCCATGGAAAGCACCTGAGAGGGGATGGGAGAAATGACGAATCCCAGTCGGATGGGCGACGTGCCGCCTGTTCGGCGCCTCACCCATAATCACACAAAACACCAGTAATCCACACTGCCAAAACAACCTCCAACCACGACCCCGAATCTCAATTCACTCGACGAGAGACCAGGGTGTCCGGATCGGTGGACTCGGATCCAAATTGGGTGAACGCGGAAAACTCGCCCCCAAATCTCTCCGAGAGTGGCTCATGTCTTATGAAGGAAGAACGTAGTAGTTTTGCGATAGCCGGCGGAGGAGGAGCATCGAGACCGCGTGGCCGCTTCGTCGCCGTAGAACGGGGGAACCCGATTCGCTGGTCCATCACAGGAGGCGGGAGCTACGCCCTAGATGCCGCTCGAGGTTTGCGGATTTTAGCGAGTCGATTACAGCATCTCCAACAAGTAGATGATGTAAAAAGAACCGCGGTGGGAAGGCGGTTCCC